GCCAGTCAGCATCTCTGGGCCTATCAACGAGGCCTTATCAGAAAGGCGGGGCTGATCAGCAGCTCCGGTGGAGGCCTGGAGAGAAATGGAGGTGTTCACTGACCAGGCCCAGAGCTAAAGAGAGAGGCAAATGCTGATCAACAGCTGCCACAGAGGCTACGGATCAGACCCTGCTTCTCTCTTCAGGCCTCTCTCTGGCCCTGATTTGCAGCCCCCTTAGCAGTCAGTGCTGGGTCACCATGCCTGCAGCCATAGGAGTCAGTGCTGGGTCACCACAGCAACCCAGCACTGACTGCAGGACTGACTTCTGGTTGGTCGAGCCTCCAGGTCGTTGCGGATATGACGGACCCAGGGTTTTTATATATTAGGAGATATATATATATATATATATATAAATTTTATATATAGCTAAATTTCTATCATCAATTATAATTATATATGATTGATGGTAAAAATTCAGCTACATAAATCTGGGGAACAGACAGGCAGTACTAAATTTGTTTTAAGTAGAGTGCAAAGTACTATTGTTCATTCATTTAACTAAAGAGTCACTGAGCATCCATTATGTGCCAAGAACTCAGCTGAGTGCTAGGGATACAGCCAGTGGTAAGTAGTTTCTGCTTGGATGAAGTTAACAGCTTTCTAAGCTATAGTTTTGTGAATATAGTGTAGACCATGTTAGCTCTATTTTATTATGTTACATCTAATCCTTGTTACCCCTTAGTAAGAATGCACCTGGTATAGTTTGCACAGTCCCATTCCACAGAAAAGAAAAGTGAGATTCTTATTTTCACCCCAGATCACAGAGCTAATAAATATAGCAGAGTCAGGAGAAACATATGTAGACTCCTAGTTGTTGTTTTTTTAAAAAATGACATCACCTCCACTTTAAATGTGAGCTTGCTAAGCCTCTTATTTGTTGGGTGCAGAAACATTGTAAAGTTAAATTATTAAAAAAAAATTTGGTCTCTAGATGTCATTAGATTATCTGAAACCATACTCTATTTAAAGGTGGTGAAAGAAATAGAGTTATTTATGTTGCAAAATCTCATCTGTCTTTTTGCCCAGAGAGCTTCTATAGCCTGGATATTTGTGAGGGGGTAAAAAAAACAAACACACTTTAACTTTTTTATATTTCCATTCAAGTCAGGCAAACATAGTCATTATGTCATTTGAATTATTTTGTAAGTGTACTAAAGTATACTTTAAAAATAATGCTTTCAAAGAAAACAACAATAATAATGGTGTTTGGAGAACAGACTGAAAAAGATTTATCAAATCTTCCCTGGGTTCTTCCTACTCCACTCAAGAAGTATAGTGCATTGGATGGAACTGAGAGCATTATGCTAAGTGAAATAAGCCAGTCAATGAAGGAAAAATACCACATGATCTCACTCATTCATGGATAATAGAGACCATTATAAACTTTTGAACAATAATAGATACAGAGGCAGAGCTGCCTCAAACAGATGGCGTGGGGGTAAGAGATCAACCAAAGGACTTGTATGCATGCATATAAGCATAACCAATGGACATAAGACACTGGGGGGGGTAAGGGAGGCCAGGGAATTGTCAAGGGCGGGGGGAAAAAAGGAGAAACATGTAATACTCTTTGTAATAATTTAAGCAATAAAAATATATTAAAAAAAAAAAAAGAAGTATAGTGCATGTATACCGCTCCAAGGAAGTACAGGCAGCAGTGGTGGTATGATGACTTGAAGTTCATTCATCTCATTAACATATATTATCCTGTTTCATATAGGCCAGGCCAATACACTGAACACGTCTCAAAGTAACTGAAAGCCAAACTTTTGAAGCATTGTTCTAACTGTGAAAGTATCCTTTCCCAAAAGATAATTTTCTATATTGAGATTTCACACCATAATGCTTATCAAAACCAGAAGCATGGAGGTGGGAGGGAAAGTTCTGCTACCAAAACTACTTAAACAAACACACAAAAGAAACCATGTGTTAAAATAAAAACAAATGCATGTCTTCCAACAATTCATATTTAATGATAATTGTTATTGTTTAATTAGGCTCAATGAAAATATCTCTTGAAAGGTACTCAGCAGTTTATGTTAAATGGGTGAAAAATCTATCCTGGGTGCAGTGTGTTCAGGTTATAAAAGCACCAGTGCTTATTTTATCTTCCCACAAAGTGTTGCTGAGATAATTACTGCTGACAGCTTTATTCAAGGTTCATTTCACTTTTTCTGCTATTTTTCTCTGGTTAGAAGTTCAACAGAGCCCATGGGAAGCCACACCCCTCACACCTGTTAGGCTTCTTCATGTTACGAAGGGCCAGTATGGACATGTCACTTCAAATTAGCATTGCACCAGGGCGCTAACTGTGACAATTACTTATCACAGGTTTAACTAAAAAAAAAAAAAAAAGTTTCTAATTCAACCACAAAAACAGTGTCACAGAATGTAATTTAAACCTGTAAAAGCAGGTTGCATAAAAGATATTCAGAGAACCACAGAGTAGGTTCCCAGGGTTGAGCTTTGTCATATCTGAATTATGCAGGAATGCTCTGCAACTGAACATTTCCTTTAAACAAAACAAAACCAAAAGATAAATAAGGAAGAGCCGGTAATTGTATTTTACCAGGAGTCAATGGTGATGAGTGGGCCTAAGTTTTCTTCATGATTGTCTCTAAAGCTTGAATATTTGATTCATTTTAATTCTTTTGTGTTAGGTAACTAATTCAGTAACAAAATTTCCAGCTGAGCAAAGCAGTTATAAAGGCAGCTTTATAACTAGGTAGGAAGGAAGCATTCTCTACTAATATTTGTTTTTAGTCCACTTGCAAACCAGAAAATTATCATTAGAGAAAGCATACATTGACACAAAAAGAGAAAAAGGAAAAACCTCATATTCTTAAATGTGTTTCAGGCTACATATTGTAAGCCTCTCTGCTTCAAATGCAAAATAATCTCAGAATTATGCCACCTCTGAAAGACCTGGGATGGTTGGGGGTGGTTAATATGGACTGCTGTGAGGCTAATTGTGGATCTTGAGTTAATTACTCTCTCCAGATAGGGAACATAAAAAATAAATTAAATGGTCTTTTACACCATTTCTAGTTCCATTTGGACTCAGGGAAACACCAAATGATGATGGCTAAACTCTGGAAACTTCGTTATTTGCTGCTGTTATTTAGATGACAATCCTGAAAGCCTGGGAAATAAATATGTCCACTTCATAATCAGTGCTAATGTACACTAACAAAACAACGGTGAATGGATCTGTATTTGCCACAGCATGTACAATCTGATTCACAAATGCCAATGTCCATTACCTGGTCAGAGTTAAAAGGAATTCAATGTTGTTTCACACCACATGTGCGCACAGACACACACAGCAACCTGACTTGAGGATGCAAGCCAGAGACTGCAGAGACTAACTCTGAAACAGCACCTAGCGTTAAACACTTATTTGAAAAGCAAAGGACAAAATAATTATGCCGAGCAGAAATTCAACAGAAAAAAATGAATTGCTTATTTGCAGGAAATCATATTCATTGGCAAATCCATGGTAATTTTGGCACGACAACAATTTCAGTACCTTAAAAGTTCCACAAATTTTAAAACCATCATATACATGAACAGTGTAATAGAAAGGCAGAATTGTTTCAAGGCAAAATACAGAAGGGGCATTTTATGCAAAAAATAAAAAAACAACACTCCTCAAGTTATTTTTCTTCATTTTTCTAACATTTAGAAAGTCATTATCAACAAAAACATATAAAGTCAACACATGAAATACTGATTATAAGAATCCAGGACCTTATCAAAACAAACTCTTTACCTTATTCTACAATCAAAGCAGTCACAGAGAATCAAGACAAAATCTTAGGTTAGAAAGGTGTGTTTACCTCAAGCTGGTTCCTCAATTTAAGTTTGATAAAGAGATTCTGTTAGTGAAAAAAAAAATCATTACTTTAGAACTACTGTATTAATCAGTGGTGACTTGAGCTCACCATAACCACAGAACCTTCAAGTACACAAGGATCCATCTCAAGCCTGCTCTGTATGCATAGAGAGTACCAACCAGCCATTTGGCACATGTCTAGTCAACAGTGGGATGCCATTTACCCCACAACACTGTGGAACTCTTTGGACAGCAAACATAGGCGCTCTGGATATTTTTCCAGCAGCATCTAATTTCTTGGCAAAACTGAGGCAGTTATGCTAACAGCTTTGGTCTCAGCACATGGACACAGTGCTTCTAGGCATCTTGTCATGGCTTTGCTCCTAGGGAAAACAGAGATTGAATCAACGATACCAAGTTAGGCACAGCAGCTTAAATGGGTGTAATCTAGAAACGAGAAAAAAGAACCTCATCTTGCTGGTTAATCCATGCCTGGCCCATCCCAGCCAAGTGCTTTTTCTTCTTCTGCTCAACTCCCATACCCTTATTGTGAATCTCTAGAATTCTTGGTATGTGGTTCTTTTAACTTTGCCTGTGCCTGTGTTTACGTATTGGACCCTAAGGTCCTTGAGGACACAGCCTGGATCTTATATTCTCAAATATTTTAGCCCCCCTAGAACTCAGTAGGTTGCTTTGATAGTCCAGCCACATAATAAATGTCTATTGCTTGAAATTAAATCGGTACTTTCCTTGCCAAGATATCTTTTAAGCTAGTACTTGTAATTTTCTAAATAAAAATCTACCTAGGAAAAAAACCTGGAAATCACTCCAAAGTCAAATAAGAAGTACTAACAATGATCACTAAAGTACTGTCTAACTGACCTTCTGTCTGAGTGAAAATATAAGGCTCAAAAGGATAAGGTTGTTTAATTTGGTAGTCACTGATGACTTGAGACCAATAGTCAAAATAAGCAAAATACAGACCACTCAAATTCAACATAATTTAAACTTATATATTTTCATTTTTAATGAATTATTGAAAAATAAGATTTATAATTAGCACATAACATCCTATATAATAAAAGCCTAATATGCTAAGTGTCAGGTCGTCCAATTGTCTGTTCAACCAATCAAAGCGTAATATGCTAATGATATGCTAAGGCCGCTCAACCACTCGCTATGATGTGCACTGACCATCAGGGGGCAGACAATCGACGGTTGACCAGTCGCTATGACATGCACTGACCACCAGGGGTCAGACTCTCCAACCGGTAGGTTGGCTTGCTGCTGTGGGGTCTGGCTGATTGCGACTGAGTGAGACGGGCCAGACATGCCCTGGAGCCCTCCCACGGTCCCTCCTGGCTGGCCAACCCCCAGGTCAGTTTCGGCCTGATCCCACTCAACGCAGGAGCTGCCCCCTGGTGGTCAGTGCGTTTCCACAGGGGGAGAGCCACTCAGCCAGAAGTTGGGCTCACAGCTGGAGAGCACAACGGCGGTGGTGGCAGCCTCTCCCGCCTCTGCGGCAGCGCTAAGGATGTCCAACTGACGACTTAGGCCTGCTCCCTGAATTTCATGCACTGGGTCTCTAGTTAAACAAAAACATTTATAAAGCCATAGCTGGTTTGACTTAGTGAATGGAATGTTGGCCTGCAGACTGAAGGGTCCTGGGTTTGATTCTGGCCAAAGGCACATGCCCGGGTTGTGGGCTCGATCTCCAGTAGGGGGGGGGGGGCGTGCAGGAGGCAGCCAATCAATGACTCTCTCTAATCACTGATGTTTCTATCTCTTTCTCCTGCTCTCTTCCTCTCTGAAATCAATAAAAACATATTAAAAAAAACACACATTTATACAGTGGTATAGAAACTAGCCAGTAATGTATACAATAAATAAAAATACTCTAACACATTTTAAATAATGACTCACATAAGAATAATTATACACCAGCATTATTTTACTATTATATTTTCTTAGGATTCACACTCAGGTAAATATAAGAATTAGTAAGTAATCCCTCTATAATACATGTGTATGTTTTTACTTACTAGTTCACTGGTTCTTATAGGTACATGTACACACCCATAAGAATAATTTTTTTTGTATTAAAAATAGGAAAATTCTCAAATCCAATAATATTTTAAAAATTTTGACACATGATAAAATAATGCTGCATTTCTGAATCAAGCATGTCTTCTGTGGGCAGATTCATACCTGTAGCACTTATCAATGCCAAAAAATTTAGTGTAAAATGAAAGCTGTGCTAAAGTGTTAACTCTTCAAAACAGGCAGTAATCATTGTTATGTGCTAATTATAAATTCTATTTTTCAAAAAATGAATCAACCTGTAATTTGATCTGAAAAAATTTATTAAAAAGTACTATAGTTAAAAATATAGAATCTTTAATGTGAATATAACAAAACTAAAAAGTGAAAAATTTTCATAGAATAAATCATTTAAAATTTTTGATCATTATTTCGATCACCGTATAGTAATAATGTTAAAAATATTCCTTCAAAAACAAACATAAAAATCTCTGGAGATCTGTCAGTATAATGAGTGCAAGAAATAATTTGAAAATTAAGAAAAGTTTTTTTTAAGAATATTAGTAAGGTTGTCACTGGAATTGCATATAGGAAATGGAATTACTTATTTTTAGTTTATCTATTTCTTTTGCTAAAGACTTATATATTAGAATTAGAAGCCCAATGCACAAAATTCATGCAAGAGTAGGCCTTCGCAGCCGCGGCTGCCTTGGCCCTCGCAGCCCCGGCTTCGTCTGGAAGGTCGTCTGGCCAGTCATTCTGCTGTTCAGGCATTCGGTCGATTTGCATATTATGCTTTTATTATTATAGATTGTATAGAATTAGAGAATTTTAGAGTTAGAGGAAACTTTGAAGATGGGAGGGTAGGGAAAATAGTAGAATAAAAGGCAGAGGACTCCAATATTTATTGAGAACCTACTATGCACCAGACACTTTAAATTCATCTCCACTTCTTATTAATACAAGGGTCCTATAAGGTAGGTATTATCACCCCTGTTTCAGGAAAGTCTTAAGAAACTATGTGCTCCCAGTGGAGTTGAAATTTAATACTAATTCAAGTTGTTATGATTCCAGAATCTGTATCTGCTCACCCATATGATAGGCAATCCATATTCATTAACCTATTTAATCCTAAAGCTGCTAACATTCCCATACAACAGATAAGGAAACAGGCTTAAAAAATTAGTAAATCTGTCTGTAGCTACTTTAAGATCTTTAATTACACGGTCAGTGCCTATTTTCTAATATAACTCATTTGTCTGCTTAAGGAAACCAAAGTCCAGAGGACGTATGTGACTTACACAAGGTCAAAGAGGTGACAAGTTAGAGGGAAGACTCTGAGCTTGGCCTATAGGCTTCAATGTACCACATTCTTTTTCAATATTTGTCATTCAAGAGACTCATATATCACCACCACTTAATCCAAAAGCCTCCTAAATGATGTCATATAAACTCTTCCCCCACTAAAATGACATTCAAGCTTGTTTGACAGGACCAACTTAACATTACCTAACCTTGGCCCTCTCCAATTTTCTAACACTACTAGTAAAACCTTTACTCAGTTATGGTCTGGGAGGAAAAATACTATGCTATAGCCAGTCTTGGGTGAAGTCTTCTGGGAAAGGAGGAAAATGAAAGCATCCCCTTGCTTTGCCGACTCAGGAGGCATTGACCAAGGTTGGTTTCTTGGGGCTTAAGAACCAGTAGGCTGCCATTTTAAACATATATAGGCAGCTAAGGGGCAAATGGCAGTGATCAATGGCCTATTCGAGTGGGATGTCCTTGGGGATACTGTGAGGAAAAGAAAATCTGGTTTCCCTGAGGAACCTTTGACAATATAGCTATGTCTATCCAGTACAATGGTGGTCATAACTGGGCACAACGGGGAGGTATCCTAGAGTTTCTTCTAGACTCTATCATTATTCTTCCAATCCTCCTCTAGAACCTGGTTCTTTCCCTCATCATCCTAGACTTACTTGGGAACTCCATATTGTACCCTAGTCTCCACTCCCTAGGCTCATTAATATCATCTCCTACACCAGTGATGGCGAACCTCTGACACATGTGTCAGAGGTGACACGCGAACTCATTTTTTTGGTTGATTTTTCTTTGTTAAATGGCATTTAAATATATAAAATAAATATCAAAAATATAAGTGTTTGTTTTACTATGGTTGCAAATATCAAAAAATTTCTCTATGTGACACGGCACCAGAGTTAAGTTAGGGTTTTTCAAAATGCTGACACGCCGAGCTCAAAAGGTTCGCCATCACTGTCCTACACCATGACCCTGCTGCTCTCACCATCTCCCAACTATACTGAACCTTATCTATATCAAGTTTTATCTCCTCAGAGCCTCAAGTGTCAACTAGCTCAATAGATGCACCAAGTTTGAACCAGCTCATACCAAGTAAAGAGCACTTGCAGACTGCTAGTTTATATTCATTCATTTTAACGATGGCATTTTTGAAATCCTCACTGGAGGATATGTTTATTGATTTTAGAGGGAGGGAAGGGAAGGAGGGAAGGAGTGGAGAAAGAGAAACATTGATTGGTTGCCTCCCATTGCCTCAGGCATGGAGATCTAACCTGCTACCCATGCATGTGCCCTTGACCAGAGATCGAAACCATGACCCTTTGGTACATGGGCCGACACTGTAACCACTTAGCACACAGGCCAGGGCGATATGGTCTTAAGACCTTCTCAGTGGATGACTAAATTTTGAGAAAGAGCTAAGTGGATAACCGCAGCACAGAAAAGCACATCATTATATAATAATACAATTCTTACAAATTTCTTTTCTCTCTTGTTTTTTCTCTTATTTAGTATATCAAAGCTGATGATTAATTATTAAGTTAATCGCAAGAGTAAAAAAGGCAATGAACACCATGGGGTAACACAGTATTAATAAAGGTCTATTAAATATCATTTGAAAATGTCATACTTGTTTGTTACTAGTTTGAAGGTTACCCTTTTTTGTCTGAATTACAAATATTTGAATTT